TGCACAGGTTGGGAAGTTTCTGACCTTCCCATTAACAGGGAGTTCAGTTTCCTCATAGTGACTGTGAGACACGTCTATTGGGGACCCATCAAAGCATCTCCCTTTGGTCTACAAGGGGCTGCTTTGAAAGCTGCTGCACCACCTCAGCACCAATAGAACCCAAGGGAACCCCAAATGGCTTGTGAATCTGGTCAGTTCTCTTAAGTGGCCTTCAAAACTTTATGGTTAGTGTGGCCTTTCTGGTTTGCAGCCTTAAGGAATGACTCAAATGACACAGGAGCTGCTAGGAGATGGTGGGGCTACCTTGTAATGAGAGAACTGGTCATTCATAAGACCAGCCCCAGTTTGAAGCTGCAGGACTAGGACCTGCTTACCCTCATGTGCCAATGGTATATTTCAGTCTCTTGCAGAAAAAAGGTGCCTGGAACAGCACCAAGGCAGCGCTGTCACTCTGAAAAGCTTAAGGGAGTTTTATTTCTGAGAACCAGTGTCTGATTACTCCACAGCAAAGACAATGCCGAAGCAGCAAGAGGGTGAGAGAAAGAACCCAATTTATATTAAAAAATATTGATGAAATCCAGTGTTATGACCTGTTATGACTGATTTAAGACTTCTATTTTCTTTAACACTTTTCAATTATTTCCCCCTCACACACACACTATTCATCAGCTTAGGCAAAAAAAACCTCTCAGGCCAGCATGCAGATTTTCAGCCTCAATCACTACAGTACATGAGTTCTAGATCTGAGAGGCCAAAAAACATCTATTTGACTAAAGAGCTATAAGGCAGTCATAAAAATTATGGATCACAGAAATAAGCAATTAGTGTTATCTTCAATTGCTTTATTGGCAGTATTCACTCGTTAGAATAGAGGCAGCAGTAAAACAGATTGCAACATACTGTATAACAGCATATGGGATTTTACATTATAATGCTATTCTCTGCCAAGAAGTCATATTTTCATTTGAATGCATGGAACAGATTATCACAGGGTTTCCAGCATTAGAAGTGGATGACCCTCTCTCTCTCTGCCTCTCCTCCTCCCTTCCCCCCAGCCTCTTGGCTATTAGGTGGTTTTTTAGGTTACGACTACATCAAAATAAGCATAGCAACAGAGCAGTAATAAGAAAGCTCTGACTACTGAATATTGACTTGTGCTCTGAGACCCCTGGCTCACACAGGCTGGGCATGTCACAGAGCTATGGAGATAATAAACTCTGCTGTGAAGGCAGTGGGTAGACGAGGAGTTGAGGCTCTGCCAGTCTTTTCACCCAGCTGGCTTCAGCTCTAGAGGAAGCTGCTCGCCCGCCCATCTAATCACAGCTGAAGTGCCACAAAGGCAGCCACTAGCAAGAGGGCTGGAAATAAAACAATAGGAATAATAAGAGGGGGAAAAACAGATTCTTTATACTGTATTTAACATTAGGGATATTTTCTGCAATTGTTTGTCTGTGTCCATGGCTTGTCTTTGCAGAGCAATGCCAGCATTTTGGTGCAGAGAGTCGATTCCCCTCAGGACTGGTACACAAGGCCTGTGGTTCACCTACACATCAACAACCAGTGTGCAAATACTAATATCTGGCCATTACGAAAAGCAAAGTTAATGTGCTATATCACGCTACAGCTGTTCTGCACCAATAAAAACACACCCTCCTTTCACCAGCAGCACAGAGAAAGTGAAGGATGCTGAAAGCATCAACCCCCTCACAAAAAACAACTTGCGCAGGAGTTGTACTCAAAGCTGATTCGAACCTATGCTTTTGAAATGTCTGTATATTGTTGAGGGGAGTGCAGAGGGGGGAGAGAGGGGTTAAATGCTTAAACAAAATGCTCCAAGGGGAAAAAGCACTTGCTGCTCTAGGAACACAGGAACTAGAAAAGCGAGAGGCGTAGGTAGTAATTTACCAGAACAAAGAAATTGGATAGAATTAGGTTTCACGTGTTACTATTTATTCAGCTCTAATGAAAGCCAAATAAATTGATAAAGCCTCACTTCCCATCTGTATCTCTGATTTTTCTGCACTGATCCAAGACAGTTTCTATGGAGCACATTTCAGATTTTACATCTCAGTTTTGGACTTCAGAAGTTTCGCTTCATTACCGGAACAACACTATTGAACAATGATAACCAAAGTACTATGCTGAGCTACATACAACTCTAAATATGCATACACCCTGTTTGAGTACTGCTTTCTTAAAGGGCAAGAACACAACTATATTGTCTTATATTATCCTTAAAAATATAAAGAAAAGTCCTTTAATCACTGCTGAGAAAGGGTGTTTAAAACAGTGTCATTCACTTAATTTCTGTGTTGGAGACTATAGTCAGAACCTTAACATTACTTGCCACAAACATCAGCTCGACATTTTTGCCTCAGAAAGAGGTACAGAAATATTAGCAATAAAATAAAGCAGGCTTTTAAGTACGCTGAAGTTTTCTGGATGACTTTCTGAGCAAATCAGTGTGTGCCAGGCATGTGTGAGGTGAAAAACTCGGGGA